CTCCTCCTCCTTTTCCTACTTCCTGCTGCTCTTCCTCCTCAATCTCCTCCTCCTCAATCCTCCTCCTCCTCCTCCTCCTCCCTCCCTCCCTCCCTCCCTCCTCATCCTCCTCCGCCCCCGCCGCACCGCGCATTCGGAGCAAACGTTTTAGGCTTCCAGTGAGGTCGGGGCTGTATGGCCCAGTCTAGCTGCTTCCAGAGGACCACCGTCTGGGTCCTCATTCTGCCTGACACGGTCGTCATTTTCTGGCCAGAGGCGTCTGCAGGCACACTCGATGTCGCTACGCATAAAGATATGGGCACATTCGGTGTGGCCGTTGTGTTCAGTGCAACGCCTACAGGCAACGCGGCTGTTGCGTTCAGTGCAGTTCAAGGCCGGAGAAAGGACATACCCGTCTACGGTATGTTCCTGATCGGATGTCCGAAGGCGCAAGGGGGGATGCGGGAGCAGGAGCAGCAGGAGTCATCTAGCCAGCTCGAGCGAGACAGCGGAGACAGTCCTCCCTTCCCCCTCCTTCCCGCGACATCAACTGGACACGGACTGGCGCGGAGGGAAGGCGCTCGCGCGCGAACCGATTCTGTTTGCTTTGCGGAGGCGGAGTTGTCAGCATTCATCCGACTCGTGCGCGGCCAGATTCCCGACACGATAGTCAGAGGAGGGCAGGTGGAGACACGGGCAGTTGGCCTGCGGGGCCCACCCTCGTCGCCGTGGCTGGATGCGGCTCCGAGAACTGGTGCGCTCAGACCCGGTGAGGAGTGCGGGGGCCGATGCTGGGCGGCCGCTGTCTCAACGCGCCCTGCTCCGAAGCAGGGGTGGCGACGGCAGGACCTGCGCCGCGCCGGAGCGGGGGCGCCGCGTTTGGGCGAATTCTCTGCGCGGTGTGCGAGGGCGGTATTTCGCCCGCTCGGCGAGCGGCCCCGCTTCAGATTCTGACGATGGGGCGGGCGGCACATATTAGGGGGCCACACGCGAACCCTACCCCTACCCCCCACGATTTCTGAGGGGGAGGGTGGGGTTCAATTCGCTCGGGAGCTCCCGAGCGAATTGAACCCCACCCTCCCCTTCAGAAATCGTGGGGGGTAGGGGTAGGGTTCGCGTGTGGCCCCCTAACATGTGCGCAGCGCCAGGGAGTGAGCGCAGCTTTCCAGGGACATCTGCGCGGCACTTCCTGGCGAGAGCGACACCTCGCGCGCGGACGCGCGTGACCCCGCCGCGGACGAGTGTATGAGCGAGAAGTGTGCGCCGCGCCCGCGCGGGAACGAGACTTGAACTATCTGCGCGGCGTTGAGTTCAGAGCAACCTTTCGCTCTCTCGCGCGCGATGTGCGCCGCATTGCGCTACAGCCACTCATTTTGCAACGTCGATAACGCAACGTACGTGCCGAACGAAACGATCTCGACATTGTGTGTTGTCTGTGATGAGAAGGACGGGCCCTCCCGCTTAGGAGTGCTATCGGACAGATCCGAGGGGAGTGGGAAGATGCACTGCTCAATAATAGAGTTCCAGGAGAGGGAGGAGACGGAGGAGAAGGAGGAAGGGAAAGGGCAAGGATGATCGGGGACGGAGGAGGAGGCGGAGAAGGAGGAGGAGGAGATGAGGAGGTGGAGGAGGAGGACGAGGAGGAGATTGAGGAGGAGGAGGAGGAGATTGATGGGAGGAGGAGGGGAAGAGAGGAGGAGGGAGGATGGGAGGGAGGAGGAGGAGGAGGTTGGGGGTGAGGGGGTTCGATTGAATGGGGACGAGATGATGCTGATGATGATGATGCTGATGCTGATGCTGATGAGGATGAGGATGAGGATGAGGATGAGGATGATGCTGCTGATGCTGATGCTGATGCTGATGCCGATGCTGATGATGCTGATGATGATGATGATGAGGAGGAGGAGGAGGAGGAGGAGGAGGTCGGGGATGCCGGGAGCGATGGAGAGGTGAGTAGCACGAAGAGGAGGAGGAGGCGGCGGAGGCCAAACAAGAAAAACGACCATCCGACTGAGGCCTGGGCGCTGGAGCTCGGAGCCTCGGGAACGGGAGCCCCCCTCGTCCTCCTTCTCGTCTTTGTGTGTCTTTTCCTCCTCCTTTTCCTCCTTCTCCCTCCCTCCCTCCCCCTCGCTCCCTCCCTCTCTCCCTCCCTCCCTCCCCCTTGCCCGCGCTCTCCCGCAGGCGGCCTTCGGGCTTCGCAAAGGTGCAGTTCACCGCCCCCGCCGCCGCGAAGGCGCCCACCCGTGGTCCGAGCTCCTTGCGGAGAGGGTCGTCAGGGGAGCAAGCGCCCCAGCCGAGCGTATACCTGGACCTGGCCCTGGGAACCCAGACCTCCTCGCCTTGTGAAAGGATCACGATGGGAGGTTTTTCGCCATTTTCGGCCTCTGGGGGTCCCTTCCAAGGCCTCGGGCACGTCAACAGAACGACTCGGGATGCGAAACTGGTCCCGGGGAAAGGGTCCAGACCTCTTGGGGTCGACGTTGTGAACAAATCACGACGTCGGGGGTCTGGGAACAGCGCTGTCCCCCCCACCCCCTCCTGGCGACCTCCAAGGCGTGTGCACATTGCCAGGGCCCTGGGGAAGGGCCCGGGCAGGTACGGCGGCAGCGTGTAGGGGTGCCTTCTGCGCAGGTGCCGCGAGATCGTTGGCGGCCTGTCGGGCGGTCGTGCTCTGTCGGATGCTGCTAGAAGTGCCCCTGGCCCAAGGTGCCCCCAGGATTTCAGCAAGCCGGAAACAGCGAGCTACGCGAGGGCGACGGGGGCGTATGGCACATCTAGGCTGACACATTTTTGCGAAGCAGAATTACAAGGGGCTGCGAGCCATCATGCTAGATACTTGGGAGGGCCCCATGCGGCAGCGTTCACTTCTACCACCGAGCTTCAGAAGCGAGACGCCGCAGTTCGAACAGCTTTCCTCAGCCCAGGCAAGTTCTGGAACAACTCAACGCGCCACCTTTAAGTCGGGCCTGTCCCTCTACAGAAGGAGTCATCAGTATGTTTCAAACAACATAGTCCGGGGACCATGCTTCGACTATTTGTTTGAGCATTCTGGGTGTATAAGTAGACTGCTTTTTTAGTTTTCCGTCCAAACTCCGCCTGTAGGGGGGCACGCCAGACCTAACACCGCTTCGATTTCGGGCCCCACTCGTGCCGGGCGTGCTCGCCGGCGCTGCGGTCGGGCGGGGCCGCCGTGCTATAATTCACCGGCTCTCGCCCGGGGGGGGGCCGCTCGCCAGCGGAGCCCTGCAGATCATGCAGCGGCGCACCGTTCAGAAGTACCGCGCCACGCTGCGGCGCACGACGACGACGCACGACGACGACGACGCTGCACGACGACGACGCTGCACGACGACGACGCACGACGACGACGACGACGACGACGACGTCGACGATACGGCCCGAAGGCCCGAAGGCCCGCGCGCCCGCTGCCACTGTGTCCGGGAGGTCGGGCCACGCAGCGCGCGCACCGCGGGGGGAGGTATTGTCAAGGGCGCCCTCGAGGGCGCGAAGTTATTCGCGCTTCGCGGTTTGGCTCTGACTCCTCCTCCTCCTCCTCCTTCTCCCCCGGGAGGCGGCGCGAGAGCGCGAAGTTATCCGCTCTTCGCGCAGCTCGAAGCGCGAAGCTGGGGGCCCTTATTATGATGTTCCAGCCTACTTTAGCCTCGACCGCAAGGAAGCATTTCGAGCGCCAGGAAAAACAAGTACCGAAGCTCGAGGGCTTTCACGCGTCGGACCCTGGGAGACACTCGCCCGACACTGTTTTGACACTGTTTCGATACTCTTTTGACACTTTTCAGGGTGCTCGAAATTATTGAATCGCTTCGCTCATGCCGCCGGCCCTGGAGCCCTCTTTAGGGCCTCTTGGGGGCCTCTTGGGGACCTCTTGGGAGTCCTTTGGGGCTTCTTGGCGGCGTCTTGGGGGCCCCCAGGGCCTCTTGGAGGGCTCTTGGGGGCCTCTTGGGGCGGGAGGGGGGGTAGTCGATTACGGCTCCCCCCTCGGAGGCCACGATCCTCGTGAGGGGTGTTGAAAAATGGCCCTCCCCTGGAGTGCTCTGGTGGCTTCTCCAGGGACTTTGCCGGGGTACTTTTCGTCCGGGGGCCCCCAGGGGCCGCTCCGCGCGCGCGAACTAGAAATAGTCTTAACCAGTTACCGGAGATCTTAGCACGCCTCTGGCCCGTTGCGCCGGCGAATTTCTGGGATGTGGCCCTTAAGTAGGATGGGAACAACATGAGCCAAGGGGCATGACCGGGTCGGGAGAACAGCATGCACAGTTCTTTCGGCAGTCTGGTCTGGAGTGGTGGCGGGGGGTGGGGATGCATTCGGCCAGCGGGGGAGGGCAGCATCAAGGGCACATCCGCTGGCCGCTGCCTTCAAGCATTTACTGACTCTCTCATTGCGACGGGGTCGGGAGTGGCCCTTCTCGCCGGCCACGAGCGCGGAATGAGTTTCATTGTCTTTCACGGGCCCGAGGGTTTTGCGCAGTTCGATTCCGATGTGCTCCGAGCAGTCTTCTTCGCGAAGCTGCCGCCCGCGCTCGTCGAGTGTCGGGGTCCTGCTCCAGATGGAGTATGGGGGCGTGCAGCGCTCGCGGCCCAGGGCAACATTTGGTCAACCGCATGGGGCACGAAACCGCAACTGTTGTCGCACATGCGCAGTGCTGAGGGAGGGTACCTGGGGGATGGCTGCTTACCGCGACGACTGCATGTCCGCTACGCCGCGCCGTATCAATGTGGGCGAATTCAGCGAAACGACATGTCCTGGTCAGCCCCCGACGAGATTGTTGCCCTCAGAGTCGGGCGAGATTCGAAGCAGTGGCCAATGAACCATTATCGTCGCCGTGTCATGCGCGCGCACGAAGCGGATTTCGCAAACGATGTGCTCGAGCATTGCTTGCGCTTTTCTCATGCATTGACATCTTCGATTTGTTTCAGATTCGCGGCGGCGCTGGTCGCCCAGTCCATGGGCTCGCAGCAGTGCGGAGCTTGACTTTCAGTTTGTTGAGAGCAGCGCTGCGCGGCGGACAACATGAAGGAACCGTGGCTCGCGCGACCTCAAGGGGCAAGCTTCGCAGTGGTAGCTGGGCGGGAGTAGAAAGAAGCGCGGCGACAGCGGCAGGATGGAGCGGCTGTCGCGGCTGCCGCGGGCGATGACTTGGGCATGGGAGAAGACGAGGATGACTAGGGGTGCAGGCGCGGGCGATGTCAGTGGAGCTCAAGAATCTAGTGTTTAGACTGGGGGCGCGGATCAGATCAGAACGCTCGATCATCAGACAATGTCGACAGCCATGGTCGCCCGCAAGAGCGAGATCGTGAAGACATCCGTCAACGCCTGCCAGGACTACGTCAAGGAGTGCAGGGAGAAGCCCGAGGAGGACGCTCCGACGGCTTCTTGCGCGACCCTGCACGCGTTAGTGGCTTGGGTTTGCGCGGACATGTCGGAGCGACGACAGTGGCGTTCGCGAGTGCTCAAGCGGTTGCGCATCACGATGGAGGAAGGAACCCCAGTCTAAGCGTCGGACTGGGTGAGAGAGACGCTCTGCGTGCCCATGTTCGACAGACCTGGCAAGAAGGGCGCGAGGTCGTGCGCCCGCTGCTATCCGCCGACGCAGCGCAAGAGGTGGGGTTTCTGAAAGCACTCGAGGAGACAGAGACGCATCCGCTGCGCCAGAAGTCTCCAGATGATCTTCCCACAGCTATGCTGACCATTGAAGGTAGACTCGTGGCGATCGAGACAGTATTCAATCAGATCATGCACGCGGCAGGGTGCATGGCTAGCACGGCGCCCCGTGGAAATCGTGCGCGCCGACTAGGAGGTGGCAGGAGGTGAACTCTTGTGGAGGTCTGTTTGATAAAAAGGTTTCTGCAAGGAGGTCCCACCGCTTACTCCGCATATTCACCTCAATGGGCGTTCTATTGACCAGTTGCTAGAAGAGATGTTTTCTGGTATGGTTTCCTCTGCTTGGTCAATGTTTGCTCGCTCCAGTTAGGCTTGCCTGCAGCTAAAGTTATATTAGATTCAAACCAGCGAGCCCCTTCGTTGGCACCGCAGCAGGTGTACCAGCCTTGCGCCCGACAGGCCAGTGCACGTCGAAGCAGCATTCAAGCAGTAGTGTAGCTAGTCTTGGTCTAACATGGCCGCTACTTGGGAACACGCTAGATCAGAGATGTTTTGATTTCGTGTCGCATTTGCCTAGTTGATGGTGAATGAACGAAGGAGGAGCAGAGGAAGAGGAGGAGTCGGATGCGTCACAGGACGGGCTGAGGAGGCTCGGGCCCCTCCCTGGCCAAGGGGGGTGACCGGCCCGGGCTTGCGAAGGCGGCACGGAACGCGCTGCACAACCAGAAGATGGACGTGTCGACGTCGGGAGCCCCCGCCGCTTCCCCCTTGGGAGGGGGGCGGGCAGCAATGGGCCGCCCACGATCCGATTCGATGCGATTCGATTCGCTGGCTGGGGCCGCGATTCCCTCATATTCAGGCGTTGCAGTGTTTGTCACACCTTGCGTTTTCGCCTTGCTTGTTTTGGGCCCTGGCGGTTCGACCCGTTTCCGATATGTCGTATTTCGATCCAATTCAGGCCTGGCAGCAGCTGGTTTCGGAATCGCCGAAGATGGTTTCGGAAGCCATTGCCGAAACCATGATGTGTCCCCGACGTCATGGCCTTTTGGGGGATTTCAAGCACGTCCCCCCCCTCCGCCTTTTTCGCGCGCGCATTCCTCGAGCCATGATGCGCCAAGTCCCTCGTCATCACCCCCGTGGACGGCGCACCCGATGTCCACAATTCTGACAATTTTTCGACTGCCCTGTTGTGTTTGATGACGGTTCTTGTAATTGGGACGTTTCTGGTAATTTCTGCGCCATCAGGAGACTTCCCGTTGCCACGGCTTGATGCTTTTTATCATGGTTGTTGATGTTGCTGTTGATGTTGTTGTTGCTGTTGTTGTTGCTATTGTTGCTGTTGTGGTTGTGGTTGTGGTTGTTGTTGTTGTTGCTGCTGCTGTTGGTGGTGTCGGTGGCGGTGGCGGTGTTGTTGTTGTTGTTGTTGTTGTTGTTGGTGATGGTGATGGTGATGGTGATGGTGATGGTGATGGTGATGGTGATGGTGCTGTTGTTGCTTTCGTTGGTGTTGTTGGTGTTGTTGTTGCTGATGCTGCTGTTGTTGTAGTCGTTGTTGTTGTTGACGAGGACGGGTTTCTGGTACCCCGGGCGGAGTTGCGGCGGGGGGCTCGCACCCGCAACCGCGCAACGCTCGAGCGGGAGCGCCAGGGGGGGGGGCAACAGGGCGGAGGGAAGCGCCACCAATGGCGCAAGTGGACGGGGGAGGGAGGGCGCCACAGGGGGAGGGGAAGGCGCATGCCGTTCTACGCTTGGGGGCGCACTGGGCACGCTCCCTGCAAGCGTTCTGGGTGTGCTCCTGGGCATCCCCCCGGGAGCGTATTTGGATCGCGCTGGGGGAGGCGCTGGGGGGCGTACTGGGTGCGCTCCCTGGGGTGCATTGGGATCGCGCTGGGGGGGGGCGCTGGGGTCACACTGGGGGCGCTCCTTGGGGTGCATTGGGAGTGTCCTTCAGGGTGCCACAGGGGCTCCCGGGAGCGCATTTGGAGCGCCCTGGGAGCGCTCCTTGTGGCCGCCTTGCAAGCGTTGGGGCGCATTAGGAGTGCTCCCTGGGAACGCCGTGGAAGCGCCCTGGCAGCGCTCTGGGCACGTTTCCTGCGCTCTGACAATGCCGGTGATGACGATGACGATGATGATGATGATGATGATGATGATGATGATGATGATGATGATGATGATGATGATGATGATGATGATGATGATGACGATGACGATGACGATGATGATGATGATGATGATGATGATGATGATGATGATGATGATGAAGATGATGATATGATGATGATGATGATGATGATGATGATGACGATGACCATAGCGATGATGATTATGACGATGACGATGATGATACTGCTGATGCTGATGCAGATTTTGCTGCTGATGATGATGGTGATGTAAATGATGATGATGATGATGATGATGATGATGATGATGATGATAATGCTGATGCTGATGCTGATGCTGATGCTGATGCTGATGCTGATGATGATGATGATGATGCTGATGATGATGATGATGACGATGCTGATGATGCTATTGTTGATGATGATGATGGTCATGGTGATGATGTTCGAGCTGGACGCAGCTTTGGGAGTATTTTATTTAAGTTTGGCGCAGCTCTAATAGGATTCTAGTAGAACTGGACGCAGCTCTGGTAGGATCCTATTAGAGCTGGGCGCAGCTCGAGTGGGTTGCTATGAGAGCTGGACCCAGATCTAGTGGGATTTAAAAACAGCTGGACGCAGCCCTAACAGGATTCTATGATAGGTGGACGCGGCCCTAGTGGGATTCTGTTGGAGCTGGACGCAGCTCTAGTAGGACTCTATAAGAGCTGGACGCGGCTCCAGTCGGATTCTATGAGAGCTGGACGCAGCCCTGGTAGGGTCCCAGGAAAGCTGGACGCAGCTCTGGTAGGATTCTCTGAGAGCTGGGCGCAGACTTCACAATATATTATGGGAGCTGGACGCAGCTCTAGTAGGATCCCATGGAAGCGGACGCAGCTCTAGTATAATGTTATCAGAGATGGGCGCAGCTCTAGTCATATCTTAGTTGAGCTGGACGCAGCGCCTAGTCGGATTCTATGAGAGTTGGACGCAGTTCTAGGCGGGTGGACCCCATGAGAGCTGCAGATTCAGCTCCAGCTGGATTCTATGAGAGCTGGACGCAGCTCTCGTAGGATTTGTTCCGGGCTGGACGCAGCTCTGGTAGGATGCGATGAGAGCTGGGCGCCGCCCTATCAGGTTTCTATGAGAGCTGGACGCAGATCCAGTAGGATCCATGTGGAGCTGGATGCAGCTCTAGTAGGATTATCTGAGAGCTGGACGCAGATCTAGTAGGCTTCTATGAGAGTTGGACGCAGCTCTAGTAGGATCCTCTTCGAACTGGGCGTAGCCCTAGTAGGATTCTAGTTGAACTGGCTGGACAGTGCTCTAGTCGGATCCTATTCGAGCTGGACGCAGCGCCTGGTCGGATTCTATGAGAGCTGGACGCAGTCTTAGTCGGATTCTCTGAGTGCTGGACGCAGGTCTTGTAGGATTTTAGTTGGACCCGTGTAGCAGTTGGACGCAGCTCTTGTCGGATGCTATTCGTCCCCTTGCAAGGCCCTTCTAGAGCTGCGTCCAGCTCTTATAGAATCCTACCAGAGCTGCGTTCAGCTCTAATAGTACCCTACGGGTACGATCCTACTAGAGCTGCATCCAAGTATCATAGAATCCGAGTAGAGCGTCACCCCGCTCTAATAAGATCATACCAGGGCTGCGTTGGACGACGCTCTCGTAGGTTTCTGTGAGAGTTCGGCGCAGCTCTAGTAGGATCCTATCCGAGCTGGGCGTAGCTCTAATAGGGTTCTATGATAGCGGGACGCAGCTCTAGGATAATTCTATCACAGCTGGACGCAGCTCTAGCAGGAGTCTATGAGAGCCGGACGCAGCTTTAGTCGGATTCTCTGACAGGTGGACGCAGCTCTAGTAGGATTCTATGAGGACTGGACGCATCCATGGTAGGATTCTAGGACAGCTAGACGAAGCTCTAGTAGGATTCTATGAGAGTTGGACGCATCTTTAGTCGGATTCTCTGAGAGCTGGACGCAGCTCTAGTTGGATTTCATTGGAATTGGATGCAGTTCCAGTAGGATTTTATGAGAGCTGGACAGAGCTCTAGTAAGTTTCTACGGAGGCTGGACGCAGCCCCTGTCGGATTTTATTGGAGTTGGACGCAGCTCCAGTAGGCTATTGTGAGAGCAGGACGCAGGTCGATTTGGATTCTATGAGAGCTGGACGCAGGTCTAGTAGCATTGTGTGAGAACGTGACGCAGCTCTGATAGGATTCAATGGGAGCTGGACGCAGCTCTAATGAGATCCTAGGAGAGCTGTCAATTGTCCTGAACATACCCTTGCCCGGGGTCGGCCTGGGTCAAAGAGGCCGTCCGCTGGATTGGGTGCTTGCCATTGCGCCCGATCAGCCTGCCGCGTGCGCGCCGTGTCAGCATCCGCGCGTCAGGACGCAACGTCACGCTGAACGGCTGGTTGTTTGATTGCAGCGACGCGCCCTGGTTTGCGTCGGAGACGTCTGGGGACATCGGGGGTGTCCGCGGGGTTTAGAAAAGCATTGGAGTGGTGGTGTCTTTACAATTTGGGGACGGGGGCCACCGCTCCATTGCGTTTGGGCCTGCCCGCATGAGCGGCGTTGCAATCTCGCGCTCCCCCGGGGCCTGCTGCGGCCGCGTGCGGGAGCGCTCTCGGGGGCCGCGCGCGCGCCCAAGAGCGATATCGACCAAGCGCCACCTCGAGTAGGTACGGGTGCGTCTCCGGGGGCGCCATCAATGTGCGTCGGCGACTGCGCCCCCCGACACGAGCCCGGACCTAGCTGGGGTGACGCCAGGTGGGTTTTCCAGGGAGCAGCCCTTGGCGACCGCGCCTGGCGTTCGGGGCCCCAGGCGTTTGGGGCGAGCGCGGGATTGCAGCGGCGCCCGCCCAGGACACCCAGGACGCATTTTGCGCGTCGAGCCCCAAACGCTTGATTGTGCGCCTTCGCGGACGCGCCTCCGAACGATCTACCTTTAGCCCGAGAGCGACCAATGCGTGGTCGGGCGCTCTGCCGATGGAACGCGCGCGCCTTCGGTGCCAGCGGATGCCCGGAGAAGACAGCGTCCCGTAATGTTCCACGGGCCGTCGCATCTGTTTTTGTGCAACCGCCGTCGGCTGCGGCGTGCCGCTCCCCCCGCCCCTTGCCGCCCCGCCTGGGTAAGGGCGCGGACATCTGTCGCGCTCAAGGAGCTGGGCGCCGGTCAAGTAGGATTATATGAGAGCTGGGCTCAGCCCTAGTAGAATTATGCCAGAGCTGGACGCAGCTCTAGTTGGATTCTATGAGAGCTGGACGCAGCTCTAGTAGGATGCTGTGAGAGCTGGACGCAGCTCTTAGTAGGATGCAGCAGCCCTAGTAGGATTCTTGAGAGCTGGACGCAGCTTTCGTAGGATCCCGTGAGAGTTGGACGGGACTATTGCAAGATTGTGTTAGAATTGGACGCAGCACTAGACTAGTTGGACTCTATGAGATCTGGACGCAGCTCTAGTAGGATCCTATTCAAGCTGGACGCCAATCTGGTAAGACTTTATAAGAGCTGGTTGAAGGTCCAACAGGATTCGATTAGAGCTGGGCGCAGCTTTAATAGGATTCGATGTGAGCTGGACGCAGCTTTACTAGGATCCCATGAAAATCCAAACGGGGCCCCAAAGGTCCCCTTTAGGTTTTCACCCATTTGGGCCACCCCCCATGGCCACCCGCCCGAGCTACGAAGGCGCCTCCTTCTTCCCTCGTTGCCCCCCGGCCACGCGCAGAGGGGGGTAGAGGGAAGGGGGAAGGCTTCTTAGAAACACCCCTGCTTCTTAGAAGTCGCGGGCCTGGTCTGCAGATGTAAGGCCGGCACCTTCTTAGAGGCAGCTTCCGAAGAAGCCTTCCCCCCTCCCTCCACCCCCGTCCGCGCGCCGCCAACCATTGCCAGCCACCCGCCCGAGCTGGGAAGGCGCCTCCTTTTGCTTTCGCTGCCCCCCCATTTCCCGGTCCCTGCCGCGGCGCCGGAGGCTCTGAACCGCAGAGCCGGTACGTCGAGATCTTCCTCTTCTCGGAGAGGCCCGCGCCTCCGCCCCCTCTCTTCAGCGCCTCCTCGTCCTCCTCCTCCCCCTCCCTTTCCTCGTCCTCCTCCTCCTCCTCCTTGTCCTCTTCCGCCTCCTCCTCCTCCTCCTCCTCCTCCTCCTCCTCCTCCTCCTCTTTGCAGTGCGGCGCGCAGAGGGGGGTAGAGGGAAAGGGAAGGCTTTCTAGGAGGCTGGTTCTTAGAAGGCGCCTGCCTTACATCTACATCCTCGTCCTCCTCCTCCTCCTCCTCTCTCCCTCCTCCTCCTCTCCTCCTCCTCCTTCCTCCTCCCTCCTCCTCCTCCTCCTCCTCCTCCTCCTCCTCCTCCTCCTCCTCCTCCTCCCAGCCCTCCCTCCTACGGCGTCGTCGCCACCCTCCTCAGCTGCGGGGCAAGCAGACATCCTCCGCCTACACTGCTTGGGAGGTCGCGAGAAGATGCGCGCGGACTTTCTAAGCGAGATCCGTACGAGGTTCAAGCACGCGTGTCCCCCTACAGGCCGATTCCGGACGAAAAATCAAAATCCAGAGAATATTCAGAAAACCTGACTACTTTTGAATATTCTTCCTGTAGAGGGACAGGCCCGACTTACAGCACGCGGTGTTTGATTCCTCAGCTGCGCGAACGTTCGGGTCACAGAGGTGGTGCGGCGTGCGTGGCGGGCCGAGGAGTTGATGCGAGACTGCATCCATCACAGGATCCGAAGGGAGGGCCGTACAGTCGGGGCGCTGAAGAAGGAACCCTTTTCGTTGGGGAGGGGCTCCGCGTTCCTTAAGTGTTTCACAGCTTGCCTCAGGCTTTCCTTATGTTTTCGACAGGAAATCGAAGGTTAACTTATGGAAACAAAGGGCCTCGTTCCTTACTGCGAAGGCCATACGGCCGGTGCCGCCGACCCTGAAGACGAAGCTGTCTGTGACGCCGTGAAGGTCGAAACGTCGTATATGCTAGAAATGTAAGTTCCCGATGGAAAAGTAATGAGTGTGACCTCTTGGGCCCTTCTTGGGGGTGCTCTTAGAGGGGGCCTGGGACGTCTTGGAGGCTTCTTGGACGGTCTTGGGGCTATCTTGGGCGTCTTCGGCCGATCTTTGGGCGACTCGGGGCACTCTTGGGCCGTCTCGGGGGCCATCTTGGGCATTTGGACCTCATTTGGAGTGTTTTCGAGGTTTCGAGGCCGCCCCAAGGAAAAACGAATCTGAATCTGCCCCCCCCCCACCCCACCCCCCCCCCAAACCCCCAACTTCCCCCGGGACCCCCCCCCCCAGGACCCCCCCCCCCCTGGGGAAGGGATCAAAGGGAAGGAGCTTCCCTTCGAATCGACAACGGCATGACGGCAGGAGGGTACGTCCCAAAAAGAAAAAAGGGGGAAGGAAGAATGAGGGCGGCGAGGAACGGACGAGGAAGCCCCTCGCACACGCCAGCAGGGTCGGCGGATTTAGGGTTCCTTAGGGCAACGCCCCGACTGTAGTGAAAAAAACGCCGAGCCTGCCCTCCGCCGGGTTCTGCACATATTGACCGGCAGGGTCCGCGACGTGCCAACTTCGACGAGAGGCGAGGCGGCCTGCGCTCAGGCAGCTGGAGTGCCTGCCCACGTCTTCTCTCAGGGGGGGGAAAAACACACACACACACACAGACACACAGACACACAGACTCACAGACACAACTCATCGCCGATTTCCGAGAAAAATATGGGAAAATATGGGAAGCGGGGGGGAAAACAAAAACCCAAAAAATCTGCGAACATATGGGGGATCCTGTTATTTGTGTGTGCGTATTTGTATTTGTGTGTCCCAGGGCCCCTTCATTCTCGTCCGTCGCCTGCGATCTTTCACCAGGCCGTCTGTCCGGGCACCAAAGCGCTTCGAGGCGTCGTCGCTTATGTTGGGGACTCTCCTTCCTGGCGCACCGTGTGCCATACCACCGCGGTCCGCGGTCTGGCACACGGCTCTTCCTCTGGCCCGACCGGTGGGCTTCCTGAGCCTGGACGGGCAGGCTGCGACGGATGGCTCTGCCCGCGAGGATGGCCAGGCGGGCTTATTTGGCCCGCGCCGTCCGGCTGACAAGCAGTGGCGAAGCGTCTTCGATCGTCTATAGCCCTACCAAACAATGTTCTGAGAACCTTTTGTGGTGTCCACGAAATGTTCTTAGAACATTTCTGGCGGAGTCTGTCTTGTTTTATCACATCGGGTGTTTTGGTTCTTACAACATTTTTGGGTTCTAAGAACATTTCGTGGTAGGATGATAGAAATGCCGGAACGGTCTCAACCGGCTGACTGGACCCGCCGCGGTCGCATGGATCATTTTCTTTTCGATGCACGTCCATGCGAGGCCGCTGAGCCTTGGAAGCTCTGCCCCCCCCCCCCCCCGACCGACGCTTCAGCCTGAGACAGGGGAGGTTTCAAATTGAAGAGGGCCCAATTCCAGGTAACCCAAGCCGCCTCAGATAATCAAACAAGCCAAACTGGATTTGAAAAGGGGCGATCTCAATTGGAAGGACTGCTTTTAATTTGAAACGCCGCCGATGTCAAATGAAACAGGGGCCCCTGGTGGCCCCATTTTGCGGGGGTCATCTTATTTTCACCTAAGTATTCTAATACATTTCGTTGCCGCTTGGCTTGGCGTCATGGGTCGGGCCACCTCGCCAAGCTCGCACTCTTCGCTTCAGGGTCGACGCTGCTCCCAGCGGTTACGAGAGCATCGTTTGACTCAGGCTCTGAGCGCATGTTTGAAGTATCGGAATGATTTGTGCGATGATTCTTATCAAAAAAGGCGGGGGGCTACATTAGGGCATCGGGCTTCAGATCCCCGCGCTTCAGGGTTTAGGCTTTAGGCTTTAGGCTTTAGGCTTTAGGCTTTACTAGGGCATCGGGTTTCAGATCCCCGCGCGTCTGCTGGAGGCGTTGGGCCCCCCACAGCACTTAGGAGAGGACTTGCCACGTTCTGTGCGGGCTCGATGCCGACGCGCGACGCGTCGGCATGCCTACTCGCGGACACTGGCTCTACGGGCGGCCCGGATTGGCAGGTCGACCCTGCCAGATCAACGTGGCCCTCGGAGGGGTCTTGTGTCCTCTCGCGTGTCCTCTCCAATCAAGTCCGACTGCACCCTCGCCGCAGCACGCATTGCAGCACGCTCCCGCGGGAGCGCGGACTCGTCTGTGCCAAGTTCCCAGCTCTGATCACCACGAAGTGCGACGCGGCACGCAACTACCTGGCAGGGTGCCCCCCGCAGGATCGCTCTCCTTGACCTCCTCAGTGAACCGACCGGTGCGACCGCCAATCCCGCTGGAAACTCGACCATGGAGTTCGCGCATCGGTTAAACGCCTCGGCCGTCTTTGAGCAAAGGGTCACCAAGGAATTTTGCGCGCCTGGGCGGATCAGGAATTCCCGCCAGGTGCTCCATAATAGTCGTAAGTCGGGCCTGTCCCTCTACTTGGGGAAGATCGAAAAACAGTCAACAAAATAGTCAGGGGACCATTTTTTGAGCATTTCTTTTTACCACTTTGGAGTACTTTTTGGGTTTTTGTAATTTTTCGTCGAAAATTCCCCTGTAGGGGGACAGGCCTGAGTTAATAATAGTCCTCGCCCTCGTCCCCGCCTGCGAAGCAGCGCCAACTGACGTCCCCGCGATGCAGTGACATCGCCACGCCGCCCTGGTTTCACCGAGCGGCAACGGCACGTCCAAGGGCATCACGCACGAGACGTTTGATGCACTGCGACTTGTTCGGATTTCCTGGTGTCCATGGCAGGAGGCCAGTCTCAGTCCGGACCATCCTCCTTTGTGGTTGGCATGCGTAGTCCGGCCTCTCATCCTCCTCCTTCGCTTCCGTCCCACCTTCCTTGTGTACCGCCGTTGTTGTTCACGAGTCATCCGGCGCGCAGGCGACGGGTACGCCCTGGCCCCTTGCGCAAGAAGAGAGACCATGCTCTCTTGTAGCACGGGCCCCCCTGCTTGTACCGTGCCTCTCTGTATTCCATACGCTTATATACCCCTGAATTCGACATTGCTCGAAGATCCTCTTGTCTGCTGCATGGTGTGTTCTCTGGCCATTCCGCGGCCGCCGCCGCCTCCCGTCCCGCCCCTCTGGCGCCGCCGTAGTGCGCACGCACGCGCCCCGCCGCTGGCCCGACCGCTCGTTGGACCCAGCTCGCCGCAGACAGAAGGCACTGTGATCCCGTGTGGTCGTTTGGGGTTCTCATTCTGCCGATCGGCGCGGGCCTTTCCCCCCCCCCTGCCCCCTTGGCGTAGGTCTCGGCGGTTTGGGGCGCCTGTTTCGAGCAGGTGGGGTCTCCCCTCGCAGGACGCACTGTCGCAGGCAGTCGCACTGAGCAGATGTCCAGAGCCAGACCCCCCCCCCTCCCCCCCCCTTTTTCGCTCAATGCCGAAACGCCGAAACAAGAAAACGCACGCTCACTATACGGTCGCACCGAAGTAGAAGCTCGATGTCGGCTCGTTGAGGGTACCCTTGTGTTCTTCGTGCTTGTAGTATGTCCTTGCGCATCCTGAGGAAGAAGGGCACCCTCGGTGCTCTTATGGCTGTGCTGTAGCTGGCGGAGGGTTTCATGCTTGTGACGGATGTTTTGTGATCGACAGGAGTACGGAAAGAATGGGTGCGATTCGGCGGCGAGCGAAGGGGAAGTGAGAGGGGACGGGCCTTCTCGGAAGGCTCGGGAGTCCCCTGGCCTTCCCAGAGGTTTCCTAGGCCTCCCCATGAAAGCACAGAAACCGTCTCGGAAGGCCCGAATGCTTTTGAGAAGTCCCGCCGCCTTCGGAGAAGGCTTCCTCCTTCAAGCAGTGGCGAAGCGTCCCAGCTTGCCTATAGGCCCACCAAAGAATGTTCTGAGAAGTCTACGTAGTCAGCACGACATGGTCTTAGAACATGTCTGATTGAAATCGCTCTGTTTTAACACATCGGGCCTGTGCTCTAAGAACACGGCTGTTGTTCCTGGAGCGTGTTGGGCTCCCGAGAGCATGTCGTGATGGGCCCGCAGGGATGCCGGGACGG